ATCATAATCATCATCATCGTCATCATCCTCATCCTCATCCTCATCATCCCCCCCCTCCTCCTCCGAGCCTTGCGCTCCTCGGGCTCCGGCCCCTGCCCCGCGGGGGGGCCCCGTCGTGTCGAACACGCTGAAGGAGTAGTCGGCGTCCGCCGAGAGGCCTGCAGCGGGGCCGTCGGGGCCGAGGCCGGGGAGGAGCGCGAGGGGAGGGCGAGGGAGAGGGGGGGGGGCGAGGGAGAGGGGGGGGGGGATGGGGCGGAGGAAGCGCGAGGGAGGGGAGAGGGGGGGGGCGAGGGAGAGGATGGGGGGGGGGGGGCGGAGGAAGCGCGAGGGGAGGGAGAGGGGAGGGGGGCGAGGGAGAGGGGGGGGGAGGGAGGAGGAAGCGCGATGGGGAGGGCGAGGAGAGGGGGGGGCCGAGGGAGAGGGGGGGGGATGGGACGGAGGAAGCGCGCGAGGGGAGGGCGAGGGAGAGGGGGGGGACGTATCTGCCCTATCTGCCCCGGTACGCAAATCGCAACGTGCCGCGTATCGATGCGGAGCTCAGCGCGGAGACTGAACACGCAGGCAGGGCGCGATAGCTTCGCCAGTGTGGGGCCAGCGCGCTGGGCCAGTCCGCGCAGCGCATGAGCACGGACGCTTTTTGAGCACGGCACCTGCTGCGCTTCAGGACGGGCGCATCGAGGCAGCCAATGGGGGCGAGGGCTGCGGACGGGAAGGAGGAGAAAGGGGCGGAGCACGGAAGAGGCGGAGGATGCTCGCAACAAGGGTGGGAGTGGTGGTGGTGGGGGGGGGGGGGGGGGGGGCGAGGCGAAGGAGAGGCCAGAGGGGGGAGCCAGAGACGGCGAGGGCTCGGGAGGAGCCAGAAGAGGAGGAGGACGGGGAGGGAGGAGGGCGCGTGGAGTGGGGGGGAGGGAGGGAGGAGAGGGAGGGAAGGGAAGGCGGAGGAGAGATGCAGGAGGAGGGAGGAGGAGGAGGAGGAGGGAGGGAGGAGGAGGGAGGAGGAGGAGAGGGAGGAGGAGAGGAGAAGGAGGGAGGGGAGGAGGGGGAGGAGGAGGAGAGGAGGAGGAGAGGAGGAGGAGGAGGAGGAGGAGGAGGAGGAGGAGGGGAGGAGGAGGAGGAGGAGGAGGAGGGGGAGAGGAGGAGGGAGGAGGGAGAGGGGGAGGGAGGACGCGGGGGGAGGGTCCGGGGGAGGGGCAGTCCGCTTCCACCAAGCCCCGCGACGACTGGACTGCACGTGCCCCGGACGTGCACCCCGCGAAGCGAAAAGAGTGACATCAGACATCAGGCAGCAGGGAGGGGCCACGAAGGCAATGCAATACAGATCCACCTTGTCGCCTTCGGCGTCCTCTTCTCCGATGTTCATGCCCACTCTACCTCCTCCTCCTCCTCCTCCTCCTCTCCTTCCTCTCTCCTCCTCCGCCTCCCTCCTCCTCCTCCTCCTCCTCCTCCTCCTCCTCTGGCATCCCTGCTTGTCTCGAGTCTCCGATGCAACTCCATCCTAATTTCTGCCCCCTTCTAGTTCACGGCCAGGCGTCTGCTACGCCCGCCTAGAAAGGCGGCGCTGTCGTCGCTGGTGGAGCACAAGACGTCGGATGGAATGACGAGGCCTCCCACTGTGAACGCATGAAGCCCGGAACGAGTTGCACTCGAGAGGGGGAAGCAGGAAGTGGGAGACGAGGAGAATGAACGAGAGGAGGACAGGAGAGGAGGCAAGGCGGAGGAAGATAGCAGCAGAGAAGGAGAGCATAACAACTGAAGATGGAAAAAACAGGAGGTAAGGAGAGAAGAGCCGAGTGCAGAAGAGCTGAAGAGGAGAGACGGAGATAAGCGAAATACGCACATAGCACCTCGACTATGGTTGAATCTCCAATGGATCTCGTGGGAGTCCCCTGGGCCCAATAAGATCTTATCGATGTTACCGTCATTGCTGCCACCTCACTATCCCCGCTGCCATGGGAGGACATAGAAAGAGCGATGTTGGTCACCAGGACTCAAGTCGCCTAAACGGTTTGAGCATACATGTCCACAGCATGCATCACGAGCTGGTCATATGCTTACAACCGTATGCAAACAGATGTCAAATCACATGGCACAAGCTATCGAATCGTGAAGCATAATAGAGAAAGGGTACTCGCGAAGGCAGCAGAGCAAGGGCAGGCCACTGCGAAAACAAGACGCCCTTCTAGCATCCCCTTCCAGTTCCTCGTCCTCCCCTCCTTCGTATACCCCCCCCTGCACCTCATCCACCTCCTCTCCCGCCTCCTCCGTGCTATCGCCTCAAGGATGCCGACCCCCCCCCCGACTTTCCGGACTCGAGACCGCCGAAGCGGTCCCGTCTGCGTTCCCCCCCGGCCCTCCGCACGTGAGACCGCCGGCCGGCAACGTCGTCGATGATGCCGTCAAGGACGCCGAGACGTCTACTGGCAGCGGCGAGGGGTGGGATACCGAGGACGACAATGACCACGACGAAGAAGACGACGACGACGGCCAGAGGGGGCATGTGGAGAAACGACAGAAGAGTCCGTCTTGCGTAGATGTTTTATTCAAGGTCCTTACGCTCCCCTACCCGAGGGGAACCCGCAAAGCACCTTGAAAGCGGACAAACATAATGAACGACGAGCCATCACTCCACACGTCCCTTGACATGTCTTTGGGCTCTGGGTCCGAACACTGAACACGTGCCTGGCACGTCCCTTGGCACGCCCCTCGACACGGCCCCAAACGCCGCCGCCCCGGGGCACGCCCCCTCGAATGCCCCCAGGCACGCGGCCCATCTCCCGACGCGTCCCCATGGCGCGTCCCCGTGCCACGTCCCTGGACACGCACCCTGGCACGTCCACAGACGCATCTCCTGACACGGCCCTGGTTCCATGGTACGTCCCCCGACACGTCCCCTGGCGCGCCCCCGGACACGTCCCCGCGAGAACAGGGACCGCCGAACAGAAGGAGCCCTCTCGTCCGTGCGCCTGGGGGCCCCCACACGCGAATAGGTTCCCTTCTCCGTGAGCCTGGCCCCCGCTCCCCACCCCCCCGCACAGAACACGCGGGCCCCTTTCCCCCACGATCCACGCGGCTGACGCATCCCCAGACACATCCCCTGACATGTTCATAAAAAGGATGTCACCTGACACGTCCCCGAACACGTCACCTGAAACGTCCCTGGACAAGCGCCCGGGCACCTCACCCCATCCCCCGACATCCCCAAAGACGCCCCCGTAAGCCCCCCAAACCAACGAAGCACTTTTCAATCGGCAGCGCCAGCGGTCGCGGGCGCGGGCGCGGTGGACGAGTCCGGCGGAGCGCGCCGAGCGCGAGGCGCGCGGGGCGGGTGGGAAAGCAGAGAGCGGCCGCGGAAGGGAATATTTTTCACCCCACGCAATGCACAAGCCTCCCTCGTCCGTGGGCCTAGGGCCCCACAGTACACAAGGGTACCTCTCGCCCACGAACCTCAAGACCACAAGAGCACAGGAGCTCGTCTCGCCCGCTGGCCTTGGGCCATTGCTGGACCGCGCGGGGGCTCCCTGCGCCCGCGAGCCCCTCGGGCCCCGCGAGACACACGCTGGGAGGGGGCTGGAGAGGAGGACATGCGGCGGGCCAGGTTCTCCAGTGGGGTAGGGAATGGGCGCGAGGATGCAGTGGGGGCTCAGGGGAGGAGGATTAGGAGGAGGAGGAGGAGGAGGAGGAGGAGGAGGAGGAGGAGGATTGAGGAGGAGGAGGAGGAGGAGGAGGAGGACCAGTGCAAATCCAAGACTCATCAACGATGTTGCAGCCCTCCCTCCAAAGTCCCTCTCCATAGGTCCCTGCAAACATGTATTTCCACGGTCCGAAAGCAACCGTGGAAGGCAACCGTCTGAAGATCTGCAGCCATACCAGAGCACCATTCCTGAGACTTCGTGCCAGAACACATCAGAGCACGATTCCTGGGACTTCGCCACCGCAACTAATACTGTAAATGTGACTGTCGCATCCTGACAGTCCTAAATCACGGCGAAACAAAACACAATTTCTGGGGCGTCAACGATACTGACCCTTGAAACTGCCGTAACCTGTTAAGACACATGTGATCGGCGCGAAGGCGAAAATCACACGTTGAAAAAGAACCGCCCTTCATCCGTGAAACTGTTTCTAACTTTTTAAACAAATGTGAGCGGCGCGAATGTAGAGCCACATTTTGAGCATGACCCGCCCTCCATAATGAAACTTTTGCGAACAGTTCAAACTAATGTACGCGGCGCGGAAACGAGAACTATAGATTGAACATGACCCGCCCTCCATCCGTCCTCCTACCTCCTGCACCCCGCCCTCCCTACGAGTCTGCCCTTCTTCTTACCTTCCTGTGCACTCGAATCTTGCCCGTCATCCACCATCCCAGCACAGACACCAGCAACGGGACATCGAGCCAGTGGGTCCAAAGTCGGGCGTCGTCCTCTGAGCACGTTGGACTGCAGCGCGATGTGGTCGCGCGACACCTGCCCCTCCTGCTCCTCCTCCAGCTCATGCCCCTATTCCTCCTCTCCCTACTCTTCGTCCTCCTTCCCCTCCTCCTATTCCTCCTGTTCTACGCTGGGCAAATGTAAGTTTATAGGCCAGAGCGTCCTGCCAGTGCAAAAAAAAAAAATCAAGCGCAGGGACGAACAAGTGGATGAGAATTTGGCGAACTAAGCAGCTCCTGTTGCTACTGTTCCTCCTCTCATGTTCCTCCTCCCCATCCTCCTCCTCCTCCTCCTCCTCCTCCTCCTCCTCCTCCTCTCCTCCTCCTCCTCCTCCCTCCCTCCTCCTCCCCCCTCCTCCTCCTCTCCTCCTCCTCCTCTCTCCTCCTCCTCCTCCTCCGCCTCCTCCTCCTCCTCCCCCCCCTCCTCCTCCTCCTCCTCCTCCTCCTCCTCCTCCTCCTTCCTCCTCCCTCCTCCTCCTCCTCCTCCTCCTCCTCCTCCTCCTCCTCCTCCTCCTCCTCCTCCTCCTCCTCCTCCTCCTCCTCCGGCCACTTCCCCCTTCCACGCTCCTGGTCGAGCGCGCGGCGAGGCCCCGGGCGGCACCACCGCCCCGCAGACACATCCCGAGAGGCGAGCCGTTGCCTCTGCTGCCGCTCGCGGGCCATCGAGCAGCACAGGGGGGAGGGGGGAGGAGGAGGAGGAGGAGGAGGAGGAGGAGGAGGAGGTGGAGGAGGAGGAGGAGGAGGAGGAGGAGAGGAGGAGGAGGAGGAAAGGTGGAGGTGGTTGAGGAGGAGGAGAGGGGTGGGGGAGAGGGGGGGAGAGGAGGAGGAGGAGGAGGAGGAGGAGGAGGAGGAAGGAGGAGGAGGAGGAGGAGGAGGAGGAGGAGGAGGAGGAGGAGGAGGAGGAGGAGGAGGAGGAGGAGGAGGAGGGTCGCTGCTCTGGTGAGGGGGCAGCAATGTGGAACCCCTTCGTCTTCGATCCCGCGTTCGCCTTCGCCCCCCCCCTCTCCCCCCCTTCTCAAGGTTGGCTTCGGCCTCCCGGAGGGCCCTGGGGGTCCACTCTTTTGTCTGTCCTCTCGCGCCGGAGCTGCCGAATGCTTGGGGCCAGCTTTGAAATTGGGGGGAAGGGGGGGGGAGAGGTGTCAAGGGTTCAACTTCTTTGTCCATCTACGGTCCCGACGCCACGCGCTTGGCCGACTCGGTCAAGTTGCGTGCCTGTCCTTGCCGCCAGGCCCACGGGAGGCCGCGCGAACGGAGGCGGGACCAGGGCGTGTTTTGGCCAGGCAGTGGACGGACCAGGAGACAAGTGTTGAGCAGGGACCGACCGTCCCGGCATTCCTATAGGCCTACCACGAAATTTTCTTAGAACCCACGAATGTTCTAATAACAAAAACAATGTTCATAGAGCATAAACCCGATGTGTTAAAACAAGACAGTCCCAACCAGGAATGCTCTAAGAACATATCGTTGAAGCCACACGAGGTTCTTAGAACATTATTTGGCAGGCCTATAGGCGAGCCAGTACGCTTCTCCACTGCTTGACGGTGGAGGACGAAATTTCTGGAATAAGAATGGCCTGCCATTACGTGGCGAGCTACGCGGCGCGAGAAAATCGAAACATTTTTCGGTGTCCTGTAAAGAAGCAGCGGACCACTGCAAGTGGAAGGGGAAATGCCCATCCAGACTGAGAAACGCGTCTGCTGCTAAACAACGATGAAGGAGAGCCGTCGTACACCGAACAATGCCAACCCTGTTCTTTACAGTCGATCTACGCGGAAATAATGCCAGCAGGCCGGCTACATGTCCTCATGCGCATCTGCTTCTCATGGTCCTGGCTACACTCGTCGTTCCCACCAAATACAACATATGCCATAATACTCCACGGTATATTGCGTGGCCCCGGACAGCGCTGTATGAAGCGATATAGCATGGCGCAATCTACATCGGAGGTTGGTGGGTGAGTCCGGTGTGAAACGGAGACCCCCCCTACCAGGAAATCGATTTCGGTTTCGGTTTCGTGTCGTGCGTGCCGTGCGTGCGTGCGGGCGAGGCGAAGCTGCGTGGGCGGGCGAGAGGAAATCCTCTTGTGGCTGGGCCGCGGCTGGACCAAATGTAACTCCTCCGGCGGCCAGTGCCCCGCGGTGTCCCGCCAGTGTCCCGACATCCTCCTATGTGGCTGGGCCGCGGCCGTACCAAATGTAACTCCTCCGGCGGCCGGTACCCCGCGGTGTCCCGCCGGTGTGCCGAAATCTTCCCGTGGCCGGGCCGCGGCCGGACCAAAAGTCTCGCCACCCGGCAAACGGTGCCCCGCGGTGTCCCGCTAGTGTCCCACTGGTGTCCCGCCGTGGCTGCGCCGAGCTATCCAATGCAAGTGTACATGCAAACCGACATGCAAACCGAAAAGCACATCGAAATGTAAATCGACATGCACATCCAAATGCAAATCGTAAGGCATTAAAAAAAATCGGCGCCTGCGGCGAGCTTTCCAATGCAAGTCGACATGCAAATCGAGATGCAGATCGAAAAGCAAATCGACATGCACATCGATATGCGCACCACAGGCATCGCCAGAACAACAGTCGCCACTGTTGCCCATTGCTGCCCCCCAACCTCCTTATCACCCGCAGGATGGTCGTATAGGTATACAACAATCTCATGACATGCGCACACGGAGACAAACTGCCCACCCATTCTCGCGCGCACACAACAGCCATGAATCCAAATGAAACTGTTCGAGAATGCAGGAAGCTATGAAATGGTCCGCCGACTTCGTACGCGTGCGTTCGAAGACGCTAATGGTTTGCCATCCCAGGAGTATGCACACAAGACCACCCTTGTGCACATGACGATGATGATGATGATGATGATGATGATGATGATGATGCTGATGATGATGATGATGATGATGATGATGATGATGATGATGATGATGATGATGATGATGGTGATACTGATGCTGATGCTGATGATTACCGGGAGACATAGGAGGAGGATAGAAGGGATTAGGCGCGCCATGACCAGGAGGGACACAACGGCGAGAATGCAGGAGCTGGGAAGCAGCAATAATATGAGCAGAACGACGAGCAGCCGAACGTTATGGTGAATATCAGTGGGAACATGATGACCAGATTGAGGAGCGGAAGCAGGAGGAGGAGGAGGAGGAGGAGGAGGAGGGAGGAGGAGGAGGAGGAAAAGGAGGACGGGAAGAGGGAGGAGGAGGAGGAGGAGCAGGAGGAGGAGGAGCAGGAGGAGGAGGAGGAGCAGGAGGAGGAGCGGAAGCAGGAGGAGGAGGACCAAGACGAGCGGAGAGGAGGAGCACGAACATCCATGGGCGCCAACGGCCCATATGCACCGATCGCGGCCATGCCACTCCTGGCCCCAAGATCCGTGGATACGCCCTCCGGGCCTGGCTGGAGAAGATGGGACAAAGGATCCGCAGCGCGATCCTGGCCTGGCATTGGGCCTGGCCAGAATCGGAGCGCATCCGACGCACGTTGGCACGGTGGGAGCATTTTATTGTTGCTCTTCGAGGGCCCCGAGAGGCCCGTGCGCACGGTGGGGGCATTGGATGAGGAGCCCTTAGATGAGGAATCCAGGGTCTGGAAGCCAGCGGGACACCTGATGACTGGCCATGGACATCACCGTCACCCTCGTCAGATACGGAACCTTCCAGGGTCTGAAACCTCCTGTGCACGTTCCTCAGCGCACGCCCCCGCCGTGCTTGGGGACCGGGGCGCGGTTGCCCGTGTCGCGCCGCAGCGCGGTGGGCCAGGCCCGGCGGCGCGGCACTGGAGCAACGAGGTTCCTGACGGGTAGGCAGGCGGCCGTGGCCGCAGGCAAGCGCTCCAGACCGCATCAGCTATACGGATCCTGGGAGGAGCAGCGCCTGAGCAGGAGCACGCTGGGTGAGGGGCAGCGAGGGGGGGGGACTGGCACAGGGGGGGACACATGGACCTGGAATCGGCGACACGTCGCCGATAGCTCGACTACAGGCCCCCGGTGGTGAGTCCGCGCCTTCCTGGGCGGGGGTGGGGCTATCAGACGTCTGTGGGCGGTCAATGGGCGATTGGGGGTCGATGCGTCCTCAGCCTCGTATGCCCTCCGATCGTTGCCCCTCCCAAGATGGTTTTTGTCCCACGGTGCAGGGGCACCAACAAGTACACCGCCAAGATTGACGCTGCAGATTCGGCGCCACGGAGAGCGCACCGCGCACGCAGGAGAGAGGGGATTGGCTCAGAGTCGCAGTTGGGTGCAAGGACGAGTCCTCACTGGTCAGCCCTTCTCGTTGACTTGCCTTTGCCTGGGCTCAAAGGGAAGGGGGCGCGGGCGGCCAAGGCCAGGGACGGAAGAGGGCCCGCCCCGGGGCAACATACATCCGAAGCTCGCCAAGGGAACCGTCCATCAAGGTCAGCCGTGCAGGGGGAGGAGGAGGGGGGGGAGGAGGAGGAAGAGGAGGAGGGGGAGGAGGGAGGAGGGAGGAGGAGGAGGAGGAGGAGAAGGAGGAGGATACGGCACTGCCAAGGGAAGCGTCGCGCGGTGCACGAACGCCCACCTAGGGTGCCAAGCTGCTAGCAGCCTGGCTGGCCTGCGGAAAGGCTGGGGCCCCACCTAAAGGACCACGGGTACCAGCCACACAGACAGAAGAAGCGGGAGACTATGCCCCGTCGCTTGGGTTATGAAATGGGCTCCCATGGAGCCTGACCCAGTGGGTTTCAGGGTCCGAAACGAGAAATGGACGAGGCGCGGGGACTCTGCGAGAGCCTGTTGCCCCTTCGTCCGCGGGATGAAAACCCTGCATGAATAAACGTCGGTTACGCACCGCCCGCTCAGACAGACGGTGGGTACCCCCTGACGGGCAATCAACGAGAAGGTGACCAACCGTGCCCGTAGTGAAGGGCGCCACAGGAAACGCACAAACAAACGTGGCCCGAAGAGACCCAAAGGCGATGGCCGCGGGCGGCCGTGGCAGGAACAGGGCCCGTTCCAGGCATGGGCTCGGCTGGCACCGTTGTGTCGGCCAACGAGGGCCGACTTGAGCGTTTGGGTCCTACCCGCCTCCGCTTGTCAGGGAGGAAGGCAGGTCCTGAGTGCTCAGGGAGAGGGTAAACCATGGCAGCGGCGTCTGCCTGGACACTCGCGGCTCCATCCCAAGTAAAAGCAACTGGCTCGAAGCGCACGCGTGACCTAACGTGTCGTTCAAAACCAGGGGAGGGGCTGCGAGGACGAGGGGAGGAAAGGCTACCCAGGCCCGAAGAAGGTGGGGGAGCCTCCGCCTCCCCTTGGACACGCTCATGGCCACGCGTGCGGGACCCCTTCCGAGGGCGCACCGAGCGAGACGAGTCCGAGGGAGAGCGAGGCCGCACGGCAGCACCGAAACTGCTGCCTCCATCCGTCAACATCTGCCCTCCATTGTCGGCCTGGGCGCGCGCGGCGTCACCAGGGAGGTTGACACTGGAGGAGTGCCGAGGGATGCCGGCAGCAGTGCGCAAACGAGCAGGGCAGGCGAGCAAAGAGAGACGACGACGGGTCCGTTCCAGCTTCGAGCCTTTCCTGCAAAACTCGCACTTCCATATACTACGATGGGGGACCTGGGAGAAAACATGGCGCAAGTGCGCCGAGACCTCCTTGGGCTCCGAGGGGGCCGTGGTGCGCCGTGGGCGCCGACAGGCTTTCCTGCGCGGTCGGGTGTCGACACGCTGCTCGCCAAAGAAGAGCCCAAGAGCGG